ATATATATATATATATATATATATATATATATATATATATATATATATATATATATATATATATATATATATATATATATATATATATATATATTACCTACTCTATTTAAAAAAAATGATCAAGTTTGACTTGAAACGGAGTTTAAGAAAAAAAAGAGGCTATTTAATCGTGTGGTTCTAAATTAAAATTATGTTAAATGTACAAAAATGTCCTTTGAACTTGTGATTTTAAATATGTCACGTGGAAAGTTAAAGTTAAAGTATTTCCAAAAAAGAGAAAGCATCATTCTTTTTAAAGTAGACTAAAAAATAAATAAAATCATTTTTTTAAAATGGAAAGAGCATCACATATACATTTTGTGACATTATATGTTTACCTTTGTTGCTAAACCAGGTGGCCTTCATATCCATGCTTTCTCCATTTACATATATAATTATTTTGGTATAGATACAATTATGCAACTTTCTTCACTGGTTCTCTTTTTATTCTTCCTTTGCTATGTGTTTTTTTTTCATTTTTTTCTATCAAACCCAAATTTGAATCTATGTTCGCTTGTGCATTAATAGTCCTATAAGCAAAATTTGAAACTAATAATTATGAACATACAAAAAAATTAAACTATATATTATGTATGAATGCTAATGTAGATGACTACAAATTACAGTTTACAAAATCTCAAATATGAAAATAATATAAAATAATGTGTAAAATACTAAAAATATATGGGCTTGATTTTCGATTCGATTTTTTATTCGATTTGTACACCCCTAAATGCATATAGCATTCAAGAAACATAAATGTGTTGTTTCATACAGAGTTCTATTTTTATTATAATACCAATTACTAGGGGTGTTCACAAGTTGCTTTGAATCGATTATTGGTCAAAATCAAAATCAAGCCGCTTTAATTGGTTTTAAAATTATCAAAATCAAACCAAATCAAATATAATGTTCATTGGTTTGATTTGGTTCGGTTATTGGTTTTACATAAAAATAAAACAAACAATTCATTCAAAACGTGAAAAAGGTGACAACAATCCATTTCAACAAAAAAATAGTTAGAATAAATGTCATTAAAGAACTTTCGATCATTGAATTTACTAAATAAATCTTCAAATTCACTATTTATCCATTAGAAGGAGAGACTGACATTTTCAGTCCTACATAGAATTTTGATATACACTCATATACATGAAACCAATAAGAAAAATCTTCAATGTTTCATAAATAAACTTTGTTGAAATATAAAATCTTTAAAATTGTTTACGAATATAAATATTATGTATGATAATAATAAAATTTATGAATATAAGTTGTTTGGTTTGGTTCGATTATTTCTACGATTTTTTCCGAAAAAAAATCATAATCAAACCAAATACTATCGGTTCTTAACAATCTAAACCAAAATTCAAATTAAATCTATTTGGTTTATTACAGTTTGAATCAATTTTAATCTTAACCATGAACAACCATACCAGTAACTTTTATTGATTAGTACATCTTCTAGGGAGATAAATTGCATAGTATTATAGTTACATCTTGCCTCATGCCTTGTCATTGTTTTACGAAAAATATAAAAAAAGGAAAGAAAAGATGAGACTAAGTTCGAAAAAATCAATTAATCTTATGCTTTAAGAGAAATCAATTTTCCAAATTAACGAAGTCAATTTTTTTTAATAAAAACGGAAAAGGACCTAAAACACCCTCGAAGTATTGAAAATGGTACACAATTACCCCCATCCACCTATCGGCCCCCAAATACCCTTCACATCCACTTTTGGGTCCAAATTTATCCCTTCATTAACGGACCAAAATTAAAAATAATTAAATAATAATTTTTAATTATGTGGCACTCAACCATTGGTTATAATTTAATTATTTAAAATAATTTTAAATCTACCCATTACCCACCCATTTTAACTAAACCCGCCCCACTTGACCCAATTTAAAAAATAACACATCTAATTAAAATATCCTAAAACCTTATTCCTCCCATTTTCACAATTTCCATGACTCTATTGTCTTCTTCTTCTTCTTCATGAAGAAAATGTCAACTTCTTCTTCGATTTCTTCCCCCGAAGAACTTCAATCTCGTACATAATACATCAAAGGGTGACAGTAGTGATGGTAAATTAGCTAGGACAAGACCTCTCAACTATGATGAAATTATGCTTAGAAGGAAAAGTAAAGCAGAGGAAAGGGACATTAAGAACAATTTCATAGGAGTTGACGATATATCACATAAAGAAGACAGGCCTAAGAAAACCACTAATTGTTTGGAACCTGAGCGACATCGCTATGAATCATTACCTAGTGTTTCTAGGCATAATTCAGAGAATTCTAGGAAGTTAGGGCCGAATCCAACGGAGGCTAATATGATGGCTGGTAAATATGCTAGGGATAAACACAGGGAAAGTAGAGAATCTGAAATCAAATTGAAGACGTCATTGAATTAAGATGTAAGCAATAAGAGACTAGCGGGTAGCAACACTGATAAAGATTGTCCTGTCATGAGAAGAAAAGATCAAGATCTTATTGATGATTCTGGAAATGAAACTGATAGAAGACATTTAAGAGATTTGATCCGAAAGGAGAAATCGGCAGACAAGATTGATGGTAGACACAGAGAGAGAAGAAAAGACAAAATTCCTGATAAGGATGAGAGACAGTCATACAGGAAGAGGAAAGTGTCACGACCCAAACCGGGTTGCGACTGACACCCACACTTACCCTCCTATGTGAGCGAACCAACCAATCTAACCTTAACATTTCAATATAATATCGACCGAAAGTAATGCGGAAGACTTAAACTCATTAAATAAAGACCAATTCATTAACTTCTAAAATTCAACATCTATTATTCCCCAAAATCTGGAAGTCATCACCACAAGAACATCTACGATCAAATGACTAAACTAAGAGTATTCTAAAAGCTAAAAATACATAAGAAGCTAGTCCATGCCGGAAGTTCAAGGCATCAAGACTTGAAGAAGAAGATTCAGTCC